CTGGGGGGGGCGGGCGGCCCGCCACTGGCTACCTGGTGGGTGCCACGGGCGGCTGCTGGCACCAGTGCTGCGCGGGCAGGAACAACAGCTGCTGGGCCCCAGGCGCCCACCAGGCTCGCTGCTACTGCGACTCATACTGCGAGAGGACGGGCGACTGCTGCGAGGACTACCACGCCGCATGCCGCCGCGCCGGTGAGTGTTGGGATGGGATAGCACCAGCTGGACCCTGTGCTGGATGGGGAGCCCCCGGGCTGGGGATGCCAGCCTGGGCTGCTGCTTTTGGTGGCAGGTATTTGCTGTTATCTGTTAGCCCCATACTTTGAGCAGTAACAGGATGTGTCTGGGGATGCCAGCTGGGCTGGGTTTGGAGCAATATCCCGATTTTCTGCTTTTTTCCGTGCTGAACGTCTGGCTGCTCCCTGTGCAGTAACAGAGCCCACAGGGGTGGCCTCTGGTCTGCAGCTGAGAATAACAGGATGACGACAGCACTGTCGTTGCAAGCCTCGGAGCCATCAGTGTGGAACCTGGGTGGGATGAGCCCTGGCATCACCCCTGCCACTGCTGCAGGCGGTGCCTTGCACGGGGACGTGGGGATGACATGGGAGGGGGCTTGGGGGGTGCAGAGCCAGCCCACCCTGGGGGCCCAAACCCGGGCAGGTGCCAGCCATGACCCCTGCATAATTGCAGCAGTCAGCCCTCCCTAATCTCCAGGATATTAGCAGGGTCCCAGCTCAGCACAATGCAGAGCTGCAGCAGCGGCGCAGGGATAAAGGCCTGCGGAAGCGGTGCACAATGCCACTGTGCCGGCAGCTGGCAGGGCAGCCTCTGCTAGGGAGTGGGGGGAGAGAGACCACTGGGGTCACCCTGCCCGTTCTCCTGTCTCTGCTCTCCCCCTCCCCTGTTCTGCATCTCCCCTGCTCTTCTCCTTCCATCTTTCATGCCACTGAAGCTCTCTTTTCCCTCCTTCATCCTGCCCGCAGCAGTGGGCTGCGCAGTGGGGCCCTGGGGACCATGGAGCAGGTGCAGCTCCCCGTGCGGGGTTGGCAGCAAGGCCCGCAGCCGCCAGGTCACCACCCCACCCCGGCACGGAGGGGAGCCCTGTCCCGACCTCAAGCAGCGCCGTGGCTGCCTAGGGGAGCACCCGACCTGCGGGACAGCCAAAGGTAACGTGGGTCCTGCGGGGATGGCTACCTCCCTTGTGCATGACTGTCCCCTGGTGCTGCTGTCCCCGCTGCCTGTCCCGGGGCATCTTTAACCGTCCATTTGTGTCCCCTGGCTGCTCTTCTGCCAGAGGTGGCCAAGATATTACCTGACTCCTTCAACCGGGACTTCAGGGATCCCTGGCGAAGAGCTGGACTGCTGCTGCCGGAGGAGCCATCTGGGTAGGTGTGGGGCTGGGGGCCTTCTGCACACACACCCCCCGCCAGAGCTGGGGCCCCTCTTCACCCCCATACAAAGCCATGGTCCCTCTGCAGCCCATCCTAGACCTGTGGCCCCTTTGCATGCCCCTGGCCCCCCCATCAAAGCTGGGGCCATCTGCACACCCCTCTGCAGCTGTGGCCCCTTTGCACCTACCCAGAGCCATTACCCTTCTCCCCCACCCCAGCCTTGGCCCCTTTGCACCCCCCCCAGAGCCATGGCCCCTTTGCA